AGGCTTGCTGACACAGGGTCCCAGTTACTGCACTTTTCACTGGGGGACCTGTGAGATGGCAAATGGAAGTTTTAGACGAAACTGTACTTGGTACTTATAGAATGGGCGAAGGAAGTAGATTTCCTTTTGGAAATTTCAATCCATTGTGTTAGAAATTTAGCTGCCATAGTGGCCTTCAAGTCTAACGGAAATAGGAAGCCATGTAATGAAGCTCTACCAGAGGTGCCCCTGTCTGCCTTGGGGAACCTGGGCCAGGGCCCCCTGTGAGGTCTGCAGTTTGTCAGCAGTGCCTGTGGCCCTGAGGCCAAACTGTGTCCCTGAGCTGTGTTATTGCAGTAGAACTCTTCTGATGGCTTGGTACCTTTGCTTGAAGAAATGTTTTATTCAATTCTGTTTTATATACTTTTTATCCCATACTAATAAAATTCTGCAAAAAAACCCAAAACATTGTTTTCCTTTTGACACTCTATGAAGTTAGGGTGAAAAACATTGCATTCGTTTTGACACTTTCTGGAGTTCGGATAAAAAACAGAATTCATTTTGGCACTCTCTGATGTTAGGATGAAAAACATTGCTTGCGTTTTGGCAATCTCTTCAGTTAGGATGAAAAACATTGCATTCTTTTGCCACTTTCTGAAGTTAGGATAAAAAACATTGCATTCATTTGGCACTCTGAAGTTAGGATGAAAAACATTGCATTGATTTTGGCACTCTCCTAAGTTAGGAGGAAAAACATTGCACTCATTTTGGCACTCTCTGAAGTTAGGATGAAAAGCATTGGTTTCCTTTTGGCACTCTCTGAAGTTAGGGTGAAAAATGTTGCATTCCTTTTGGCACTCACTGAAGTTAAGGTTAAAAGCATTGCATTGGTTTTGGCACTCTGAAGTTAGGATGAAAAACATTGCATTCATTTTGGCACTCTCTGAAGTTAGGGTGAAAAATGTTGCATTCCTTTTGGCACTCTCTGAAGTTAGGGTGAAAAAAGCATTGGTTTCCTTTTGGCACTCTCTGAAGTTAGGGTGAAAAAAGCATTGGTTTCCTTTTGGCACTCTCTGAAGTTAGGGTGAAAAATGTTGCATTCCTTTTGGCACTCACTGAAGTTAGGATGAAAAAAGCATTGGTTTCCTTTTGGCACTCTCTGAAGTTAGGGTGAAAAACGTTGCATTCCTTTTGGCACTCCCTGAAGTTAGGATGAAAAAAGCATTGGTTTCCTTTTGGCACTCTCTGAAGTTAGGGTGAAAAACGTTGCATTCCTTTTGGCACTCCCTGAAGTTAGGATGAAAAAAGCATTGGTTTCCTTTTGGCACTCTCTGAAGTTAGGGTGAAAAATGTTGCATTCCTTTTGGCACTCACTGAAGTTAGGATGAAAAAAGCATTGGTTTCCTTTTGGCACTCTCTGAAGTTAGGGTGAAAAACGTTGCATTCCTTTTGGCACTCCCTGAAGTTAGGATGAAAAAAGCATTGGTTTCCTTTTGGCACTCTCTGAAGTTAGGGTGAAAAATGTTGCATTCCTTTTGGCACTCACTGAAGTTAGGATGAAAAAAGCATTGGTTTCCTTTTGGCACTCTCTGAAGTTAGGGTGAAAAACGTTGCATTCCTTTTGGCACTCCCTGAAGTTAGGATGAAAAACATTGCACTCATTTTGGCACTCTCTGAAGTTAGGGTGAAAAATGTTGCATTCCTTTTGGCACTCTCTGAAGTTAGGGTGAAAAAAGCATTGGTTTCCTTTTGGCACTCTCTGAAGTTAGGGTGAAAAAAGCATTGGTTTCCTTTTGGCACTCTCTGAAGTTAGGGTGAAAAATGTTGCATTCCTTTTGGCACTCACTGAAGTTAGGATGAAAAAAGCATTGGTTTCCTTTTGGCACTCTCTGAAGTTAGGGTGAAAAACGTTGCATTCCTTTTGGCACTCCCTGAAGTTAGGATGAAAAAAGCATTGGTTTCCTTTTGGCACTCTCTGAAGTTAGGGTGAAAAATGTTGCATTCCTTTTGGCACTCACTGAAGTTAGGATGAAAAAAGCATTGGTTTCCTTTTGGCACTCTCTGAAGTTAGGGTGAAAAACGTTGCATTCCTTTTGGCACTCCCTGAAGTTAGGATGAAAAAAGCATTGGTTTCCTTTTGGCACTCTCTGAAGTTAGGGTGAAAAATGTTGCATTCCTTTTGGCACTCACTGAAGTTAGGATGAAAAAAGCATTGGTTTCCTTTTGGCACTCTCTGAAGTTAGGGTGAAAAACGTTGCATTCCTTTTGGCACTCCCTGAAGTTAGGATGAAAAACATTGCACTCATTTTGGCACTCTCTGAAGTTAGGGTGAAAAATGTTGCATTCCTTTTGGCACTCTCTGAAGTTAGGGTGAAAAAAGCATTGGTTTCCTTTTGGCACTCTCTGAAGTTAGGGTGAAAAAAGCATTGGTTTCCTTTTGGCACTCTCTGAAGTTAGGGTGAAAAATGTTGCATTCCTTTTGGCACTCACTGAAGTTAGGATGAAAAAAGCATTGGTTTCCTTTTGGCACTCTCTGAAGTTAGGGTGAAAAACGTTGCATTCCTTTTGGCACTCCCTGAAGTTAGGATGAAAAAAGCATTGGTTTCCTTTTGGCACTCTCTGAAGTTAGGGTGAAAAATGTTGCATTCCTTTTGGCACTCACTGAAGTTAGGATGAAAAAAGCATTGGTTTCCTTTTGGCACTCTCTGAAGTTAGGGTGAAAAACGTTGCATTCCTTTTGGCACTCACTGAAGTTAGGATGAAAAAAGCATTGGTTTCCTTTTGGCACTCTCTGAAGTTAGGGTGAAAAATGTTGCATTCCTTTTGGCACTCACTGAAGTTAGGATGAAAAAAGCATTGGTTTCCTTTTGGCACTCTCTGAAGTTAGGGTGAAAAACGTTGCATTCCTTTTGGCACTCCCTGAAGTTAGGATGAAAAACATTGCACTCATTTTGGCACTCTCTGAAGTTAGGGTGAAAAATGTTGCATTCCTTTTGGCACTCTCTGAAGTTAGGGTGAAAAAAGCATTGGTTTCCTTTTGGCACTCTCTGAAGTTAGGGTGAAAAAAGCATTGGTTTCCTTTTGGCACTCTCTGAAGTTAGGGTGAAAAATGTTGCATTCCTTTTGGCACTCACTGAAGTTAGGATGAAAAAAGCATTGGTTTCCTTTTGGCACTCTCTGAAGTTAGGGTGAAAAACGTTGCATTCCTTTTGGCACTCCCTGAAGTTAGGATGAAAAAAGCATTGGTTTCCTTTTGGCACTCTCTGAAGTTAGGGTGAAAAATGTTGCATTCCTTTTGGCACTCACTGAAGTTAGGATGAAAAAAGCATTGGTTTCCTTTTGGCACTCTCTGAAGTTAGGGTGAAAAACGTTGCATTCCTTTTGGCACTCCCTGAAGTTAGGATGAAAAAAGCATTGGTTTCCTTTTGGCACTCTCTGAAGTTAGGGTGAAAAATGTTGCATTCCTTTTGGCACTCACTGAAGTTAGGATGAAAAAAGCATTGGTTTCCTTTTGGCACTCTCTGAAGTTAGGGTGAAAAACGTTGCATTCCTTTTGGCACTCCCTGAAGTTAGGATGAAAAACATTGCACTCATTTTGGCACTCTCTGAAGTTAGGGTGAAAAATGTTGCATTCCTTTTGGCACTCTCTGAAGTTAGGGTGAAAAAAGCATTGGTTTCCTTTTGGCACTCTCTGAAGTTAGGGTGAAAAAAGCATTGGTTTCCTTTTGGCACTCTCTGAAGTTAGGGTGAAAAATGTTGCATTCCTTTTGGCACTCACTGAAGTTAGGATGAAAAAAGCATTGGTTTCCTTTTGGCACTCTCTGAAGTTAGGGTGAAAAACGTTGCATTCCTTTTGGCACTCCCTGAAGTTAGGATGAAAAAAGCATTGGTTTCCTTTTGGCACTCTCTGAAGTTAGGGTGAAAAATGTTGCATTCCTTTTGGCACTCACTGAAGTTAGGATGAAAAAAGCATTGGTTTCCTTTTGGCACTCTCTGAAGTTAGGGTGAAAAACGTTGCATTCCTTTTGGCACTCCCTGAAGTTAGGATGAAAAAAGCATTGGTTTCCTTTTGGCACTCTCTGAAGTTAGGGTGAAAAATGTTGCATTCCTTTTGGCACTCACTGAAGTTAGGATGAAAAAAGCATTGGTTTCCTTTTGGCACTCTCTGAAGTTAGGGTGAAAAACGTTGCATTCCTTTTGGCACTCCCTGAAGTTAGGATGAAAAACATTGCACTCATTTTGGCACTCTCTGAAGTTAGGGTGAAAAATGTTGCATTCCTTTTGGCACTCTCTGAAGTTAGGGTGAAAAAAGCATTGGTTTCCTTTTGGCACTCTCTGAAGTTAGGGTGAAAAAAGCATTGGTTTCCTTTTGGCACTCTCTGAAGTTAGGGTGAAAAATGTTGCATTCCTTTTGGCACTCACTGAAGTTAGGATGAAAAAAGCATTGGTTTCCTTTTGGCACTCTCTGAAGTTAGGGTGAAAAACGTTGCATTCCTTTTGGCACTCCCTGAAGTTAGGATGAAAAAAGCATTGGTTTCCTTTTGGCACTCTCTGAAGTTAGGGTGAAAAATGTTGCATTCCTTTTGGCACTCACTGAAGTTAGGATGAAAAAAGCATTGGTTTCCTTTTGGCACTCTCTGAAGTTAGGGTGAAAAACGTTGCATTCCTTTTGGCACTCCCTGAAGTTAGGATGAAAAAAGCATTGGTTTCCTTTTGGCACTCTCTGAAGTTAGGGTGAAAAATGTTGCATTCCTTTTGGCACTCCCTGAAGTTAGGATGAAAAAAGCATTGGTTTTCTTTTGGCACTCTCTGAAGTTAGGGTGAAAATCATTGCATTGGTTTCCTTTTAGCTCTCGCTGAAGTTAGGGTGAACAGCATTTCTTTCCTGAGAGTGCTCCAGCTCTGCAGTCAGTGCCCGGGTTCTGCACCAGGTCTGAGATCTGAGCCCCAGCCAACCCAGCACAGCAGGAGTTTCCCAAGTCCACAGCCCAGAAGGAAAGACCTGAAGGTCTTAGGCGGTGTGGCCAATGGCGGATCATCACCCAGAACGGGGCCCCTGCAGACCCTTGAAGGTCCAGAAAGGGAAGCAGACACAGAGGGCCCGCGTGGCACGAAAGTCTCGCACACCAGAGGAGGTGTATCTCAGGCGTCGTCCCACCCGGCCGATGCCCATCCCCACCAGCAAGAGGAAGCCTGTGCAAGACCCCTGTCTCAGCCCAGGGTCACCTGGCAGGAAACCTGAGGTGACATCCCCAGCGCCTCCTTTCAAAAAAGCTGAGGGGAACGCCTGCTCACCTTCTGGGCTAAATCGTGGACGGGGAGTTCCTGTCACTGACACCCCTCAGCCAGCAGGCACACGCTTTGTCCAGGATGCCACCCACAGTGTCCAGCAGACACAGAACAAGCCCCATTCTGTCTCCAGCACCAATGGCCTGAGCCACACCCTCATGCCTCAGGCACAAGCCAGGTTCCCTGATGGGAACTCAACCAGCATGCCACATCCTGCTGCACAGAGTGGGTGCCAGGACTCCAATCTCAGCACCAAGGCACCAGGCAAGAGAGTGGCCCAGACCTCCATCCAGCTCGGCCACAAGGCCAGAAAGAAACGGAGACTCTGGTCCTGCCAGTCCCCCCAGAAGAGCACACAGACAGCAGACCTCCAGCCTCCACACGTGGGCCCTCTCGCCAAGACCCTGCAGCCCTGCCAGCTCCCACCAAGTCCCCCGATTCCATGCCAGCCCATCAGAATGGCATTCAGGAGATTCCAAGGAGGCCAGTGGAGCTGCAGGCTGGTGACAGCTCCCTCCATCCGTCCTGCTGAGAAAGCCATGTCTGCTGTTCAGAGTCCTCCTCACCTCGGACGAGTCAGAGGGACTCCGGCACAGGGCCCCTGGAGTGTCCTCCATGAGGACCTTCAGCTTTCCTCTTCCTCTGAAGAGAGTGATGGCCAGTGAGACCCCCCTTGTCAGCCAAGACTCGTCCCTTGGCCCCAGGCCTCCTGGCGGTGACCATGGAGCTGGGGAGGGGACACCACCGGGTGCGCCTGTTTCAGGTGGAACAGAGCCTCCCTGCTGCGCTGTGTGTTCAGATGGTGGGAAGTCCAACAAGGCTTGCTGACACAGAGTTCCAGTTGCTGCACTTTTCATTGGGGGACGTGTGACATGTCAAATGGAAGCTTTAGAGTAAACTGTACTTGGTACTGGTAGAATGGGCGAAGGAAGTAGATTTCCTTTTGGAAATTTCAATCCATTGTGTTAGAAATTTAGCTGCCATAGTGGCCTTCAAGTCTAACGGAAATAGGAAGCCATGTAATGAAGCGCTATCAAGTGTGCCCCCGTCTGCCTTGGGGGAACCCGGGGCAGGGCCCCCCTATGAGGTCTGCAGTTGGTCAGCAGTGCCTGTGGCCCTGAGTTGAAACTGTGTCCCTGTGCTGTGCTATTTCAGTAGAAATCGGGACGGGGACTCTTCTGATGGCTTGGTACCTTTGCTTGAAGAAACATTTTATTCAATTCTGTTTTATATACTTTTTATCCCATACTAATAAAATTCTGCAAAAAAACCCAAAACATTGTTTTCCTTTTGACACTCTATGAAGTTAGGGTGAAAAACATTGCATTCGTTTTGACACTTTCTGGAGTTCGGATAAAAAACAGAATTCATTTTGGCACTCTCTGATGTTAGGATGAAAAACATTGCTTGCGTTTTGGCAATCTCTTCAGTTAGGATGAAAAACATTGCATTCTTTTGCCACTTTCTGAAGTTAGGATAAAAAACATTGCATTCATTTGGCACTCTGAAGTTAGGATGAAAAACATTGCATTGATTTTGGCACTCTCCTAAGTTAGGAGGAAAAACATTGCACTCATTTTGGCACTCTCTGAAGTTAGGATGAAAAGCATTGGTTTCCTTTTGGCACTCTCTGAAGTTAGGGTGAAAAATGTTGCATTCCTTTTGGCACTCACTGAAGTTAAGGTTAAAAGCATTGCATTGGTTTTGGCACTCTGAAGTTAGGATGAAAAACATTGCACTCATTTTGGCACTCTCTGAAGTTAGGGTGAAAAATGTTGCATTCCTTTTGGCACTCTCTGAAGTTAGGGTGAAAAAAGCATTGGTTTCCTTTTGGCACTCTCTGAAGTTAGGGTGAAAAAAGCATTGGTTTCCTTTTGGCACTCTCTGAAGTTAGGGTGAAAAATGTTGCATTCCTTTTGGCACTCACTGAAGTTAGGATGAAAAAAGCATTGGTTTCCTTTTGGCACTCTCTGAAGTTAGGGTGAAAAACGTTGCATTCCTTTTGGCACTCCCTGAAGTTAGGATGAAAAAAGCATTGGTTTCCTTTTGGCACTCTCTGAAGTTAGGGTGAAAAATGTTGCATTCCTTTTGGCACTCACTGAAGTTAGGATGAAAAAAGCATTGGTTTCCTTTTGGCACTCTCTGAAGTTAGGGTGAAAAACGTTGCATTCCTTTTGGCACTCCCTGAAGTTAGGATGAAAAAAGCATTGGTTTCCTTTTGGCACTCTCTGAAGTTAGGGTGAAAAATGTTGCATTCCTTTTGGCACTCCCTGAAGTTAGGATGAAAAAAGCATTGGTTTCCTTTTGGCACTCTCTGAAGTTAGGGTGAAAATCATTGCATTGGTTTCCTTTTAGCTCTCGCTGAAGTTAGGGTGAACAGCATTTCTTTCCTGAGAGTGCTCCAGCTCTGCAGTCAGTGCCCGGGTTCTGCACCAGGTCTGAGATCTGAGCCCCAGCCAACCCGGTCACAGCAGGAGATTCACAAGTCCATAGCGGAGAGCGAAAGACGTGAAGGTCATAGGTGGTGTGGCCAATGGAGGATCGTCACCCAGAACGGGGGCCCTGCAGACCCTTGAAAGTCCAGAAAGGGAAGCAGCCACAGAGGGCCCGCGTGGCACGAAAGTCTCGCACACCAGAGGAGGTGTATCTCAGGCGTCGTCCCACCCGGCCGATGCCCATCCGCACGAGCAAGAGGAAGCCTGTGCAAGACCCCCGTCTCAGCCCTGCGTCACCTGGCATGAAACCTGAGTTGACATCCCCAGCACCTCCCTTCAAAAAAGCTGAGGGGAATGCCTGCTCACCTTCTGGGCTAAATCGTGGACGGGCAGTTCCTGTCACAGACACCCCTCAGCCAGCAGGCACGCGCTTTGTCCAGGATGCCACCCGCAGTGTCCAGCAGACGCACCACCAGCCCCATTCTGTCTCCAGCACCCATGGCCGGAGCCATACCCTCATGCCTCAGGCACCAGCAAGGTTCCCTGATGGGAACTCGCCCAGCTTGCCACATCCTGCTGCACAGAGTGGGTGCCAGGACTCCAATCTCGGCACCAAGGCACCAGGCAAGAGAGAGGCCCCGACCTCCATCCAGGTCGGCCACAAGGCCAGAAAGAAACGGAGACTCTGGTCCTGCCAGTCCCCCCAGAAGAGCACTCACACAGCAGACCTCCAGCCTCCACACGTGGGCCCTCTCGCCAAGACCCTGCAGCCCTGCCAGCTCCCACCAAGTCCCCCGATTCCATGCCAGCCCATCAGAATGGCATTCAGGAGATTCCAAGGAGGCCAGTGGAGCTGCAGGCTGGTGAAAGCTCCCTCCCTCCCTCCTGCTGAGAAGCCCACCTCTGGTGCTCAGAGCACTTCCCACATTGGAGAAGTCAGAGGGACTCTGTCACAGGGCCCCTGGAGTGTCTTCCAAGAGGACCTTCAGCTTTCCTCTTCCTCTCAAGAGAGTGACAGCCAGTGAGACGCCCCTTGTCAGCCAAGACTCGTTCCTTGGCCCCAGGCCTCCTGGCGGTGACCATGGAGCTGGGGAGGGGACACCACCGGGTGCAGCTGTTTCTGGTGGATCAGAGCCCCCCTGCTGCTGTGTGTTCAGATGGTGGCAAGTCCAACAAGGCTTGCTGACACAGGGTCCCAGTTACTGCACTTTTCACTGGGGGACCTGTGAGATGGCAAATGGAAGTTTTAGACGAAACTGTACTTGGTACTTATAGAATGGGCGAAGGAAGTAGATTTCTTTTTGTAAGGCTTAATCCATTGTATTGGAAACTTAGTTGCAATAGTGGCCTTCAAGTCTAATGGAAATAGGAAGCTATGTAATGAAGCTCTACCAGAGGTGCCCCTGTCTGCCTTGGGGAACCTGGGCCAGGGCCCCCTGTGAGGTCTGCAGTTTGTCAGCAGTGCCTGTGGCCCTGAGGCCAAACTGTGTCCCTGAGCTGTGTTATTGCAGTAGAACTCTTCTGATGACTTTGTGCCTTTGCTTTATGAAATGTTTTATTAAATTCTGTTTTATATTCTTGTTATTCCATACTAATAAAATTCTGCAAAAAAACCCAAAACATTGTTTTCCTTTTGACACTCTATGAAGTTAGGGTGAAAAACATTGCATTCGTTTTGACACTTTCTGGAGTTCGGATAAAAAACAGAATTCATTTTGGCACTCTCTGATGTTAGGATGAAAAACATTGCTTGCGTTTTGGCAATCTCTTCAGTTAGGATGAAAAACATTGCATTCTTTTGCCACTTTCTGAAGTTAGGATAAAAAACATTGCATTCATTTGGCACTCTGAAGTTAGGATGAAAAACATTGCATTGATTTTGGCACTCTCCTAAGTTAGGAGGAAAAACATTGCACTCATTTTGGCACTCTCTGAAGTTAGGATGAAAAGCATTGGTTTCCTTTTGGCACTCTCTGAAGTTAGGGTGAAAAATGTTGCATTCCTTTTGGCACTCACTGAAGTTAAGGTTAAAAGCATTGCATTGGTTTTGGCACTCTGAAGTTAGGATGAAAAACATTGCACTCATTTTGGCACTCTCTGAAGTTAGGGTGAAAAATGTTGCATTCCTTTTGGCACTCTCTGAAGTTAGGGTGAAAAAAGCATTGGTTTCCTTTTGGCACTCTCTGAAGTTAGGGTGAAAAAAGCATTGGTTTCCTTTTGGCACTCTCTGAAGTTAGGGTGAAAAATGTTGCATTCCTTTTGGCACTCACTGAAGTTAGGATGAAAAAAGCATTGGTTTCCTTTTGGCACTCTCTGAAGTTAGGGTGAAAAACGTTGCATTCCTTTTGGCACTCCCTGAAGTTAGGATGAAAAAAGCATTGGTTTCCTTTTGGCACTCTCTGAAGTTAGGGTGAAAAATGTTGCATTCCTTTTGGCACTCACTGAAGTTAGGATGAAAAAAGCATTGGTTTCCTTTTGGCACTCTCTGAAGTTAGGGTGAAAAACGTTGCATTCCTTTTGGCACTCCCTGAAGTTAGGATGAAAAAAGCATTGGTTTCCTTTTGGCACTCTCTGAAGTTAGGGTGAAAAATGTTGCATTCCTTTTGGCACTCCCTGAAGTTAGGATGAAAAAAGCATTGGTTTCCTTTTGGCACTCTCTGAAGTTAGGGTGAAAATCATTGCATTGGTTTCCTTTTAGCTCTCGCTGAAGTTAGGGTGAACAGCATTTCTTTCCTGAGAGTGCTCCAGCTCTGCAGTCAGTGCCGTGGTTCTCCACCAGGTCTGAGATCTGAGCCCCAGCCAACCCGGTCACAGCAGGAGATTCACAAGTCCATAGCGGAGAGCGAAAGACGTGAAGGTCATAGGTGGTGTGGCCAATGGAGGATCGTCACCCAGAACGGGGGCCCTGCAGACCCTTGAAAGTCCAGAAAGGGAAGCAGCCACAGAGGGCCCAGAAGGCACCAAGGTGTTCCCTATCAGAGGAGATTTTTCTCAGGCGTCCCACCCGGCCCATGCCCATCCGCACGAGCAAGAGGAAGCCTGTGCAAGACCCCCGTCTCAGCCCTGCGTCACCTGGCATGAAACCTGAGTTGACATCCCCAGCACCTCCCTTCAAAAAAGCTGAGGGGAATGCCTGCTCACCTTCTGGGCTAAATCCTGGGCGGTCAGTTCCTGTCACTGGCACCCCTCGGCCAGCAGGCGCGCGCTTTGTCCAGGATGCCACCCGCAGTGTCCAGCAGACGCACCACCAGCCCCATTCTGTCTCCAGCACCCATGGCCGGAGCCATACCCTCATGCCTCAGGCACCAGCAAGGTTCCCTGATGGGAACTCGCCCAGCTTGCCACATCCTGCTGCACAGAGTGGGTGCCAGGACTCCAATCTCGGCACCAAGGCACCAGGCAAGAGAGAGGCCCCGACCTCCATCCAGGTCGGCCAGAAGGCCAGAGAGAAACGCAGAATCAGGCCCTGCCTGTGCCCCCAGAAGAGCATGCACACAGCAGACCTCCAGCCTCCGCACGTCATTGGCCCTCTGGCCAAGACCCTGCAGCTCTGCCAGGTCCCACCAAGTCCCCGGATTCCATACCAGCCCATCAGAATGGCATTTAAGAGATTCCATGGAGGCCAGTGGAGCTGCAGGCTGGTGACAGCTCCCTCCAGCCCTCCTGCTGAGAAAGCCATGTCTGCTGTTCAGAGTCCTCCTCACCTCGGACGGGTCAGAGGGACTCCGTCACAGGGCCCCTGGGCTGTCCTCCAAGAGGACCTTCAGCTTTCCTCTTCCTCTGAAGAGAGCGAGGGCCAGTGAGACGACCCTTGTCAGCCAAGACTTGTTCCTTGGCCCCAGGCCTCCTGGCGGAGACTATGGAGCTGGGGAGGGGACACCACCGGGTGCAGCTGTTTCTGGTGGACAAGAGCCTCCCTGCTGCGCTGTGTGTTCAGATGGTGGGAAGTCCAATAAGGCTTGCTGACACAGGGTCCCAGTTACTGCACTTTTCACTGGGGGACCTGTGAGATGGCAAATGGAAGTTTTAGACGAAACTGTACTTGGTACTTATAGAATGGGCGAAGAAAGTAGATTTCTTTTTGTAAGGCTTAATCCATTGTATTGGAAACTTAGATTCAATAGTGGCCTTCAAGTCTAATGGAAATAGGAAGCTATGTAATGAAGCTCTACCAGCGGTGCCCCTGTCTGCCTTGGGGAACCTGGGGCAGGGCCCCCTGTGAGGTCTGCAGCTTGGAAGCAGTGCCTGTGGCCCTGAGGCAAAACTGTGTCCCTGTGCTGTGTTATTTCAGCAGAAATCAGGATGGGGACTCTTCTGATGGCTTGGTACCTTTGCTTTATGAAATGTTTTATTAAATTCTGTTTTATATACTTTTTATCCCATACTAATAAAATTCTGCAAAAAAACCCCAAAACATTGTTTTCCTTTTGGCCCTCTCTGAAGTTCGGGTGAAAATCATTGCATTCCTTTTGGCCCTCTCTGAAGTTCGGGTGAAAATCATTGCATTCCTTTTGGCCCTCTCTGAAGTTCGGGTGAAAATCATTGCATTCCTTTTGGCCCTCTCTGATGTTAGGGTGAAAATCATTGCATTCCTTTTGGCCCTCTCTGAAGTTAGGGTGAAAATCATTGCATTCCTTTTGGCCCTCTCTGAAGTTAGGGTGAAAATCATTGCATTCCTTTTGGCCCTCTCTGAAGTTAGGGTGAAAAGCATTGGTTTCCTTTTGGCCCTCTCTGAAGTTAGGGTGAAAAGCATTGGTTTCCTTTTGGCACTCTCTGAAGTTAGGGTGAAAATCATTGCTTTCGTTTTGGCACTTTCTGAAGTTAGGGTGAAAATCATTGCTTTCGTTTTGGCACTTTCTGAAGTTCGGACGAAAAACACTGCATTCTTTATGTTACACTTTCTGGAGGTTATGACTCACTCCCCTTTCCTCCCCCCATTTCCTCGGGATGACGTAGTCGTTCCTCCTGTATTTAATAGCTCCGTCCGCAGTAATGCTTAACCAGATGTGAAGCCTGGTTGGAAGCTCTTGCCACACTCCAGACAGCAGTAGGGTTTGCCACCCAATTTGCTGCTTTGGTGAATGAGGTCAGGGACGTAGGCTTGGGTCAGTCCACACTCCTGACTCTGAAAGGCTTTGGAGATTGCGGGACATTTGTTTTTGGCAGGGCTTCTTTCTCCCCAAATCCAGAGGCTAGTGTGGACGAAAATGCAAATATCTACTAGCCCGTGATGCTCTGGGAAGTGGCAGCGAGTGGTTTCTATAGGTTAATCCTCTCATTCAACTGACGGATCAGGAGCTCCCCATCTGCGGCCGCTGTCAAGTATTAGACACTTTGGTCCTGGCTCGGGATTCTCAATACCTCAGAGCTGACTTCGGTACCCGCTCCGTTGGGGGCGGCGAAACGAGCCCGAAGGAAAAGGTGGTCGCTGCGGAGGACACCCTGGGGGCGTCCTAGCCACATCACCTGGTGCAGCAGGATACTGAGACTCCACGGTCGCCTGCCTGGGAACTCCAGACGCACCAGCAAGACCGGGCGTGTAAGCCTGGCGTGGACTACATATCCCAGCATGCACCCCACGCGTCGCTTGGCCTCGCGCAACCATTAGGTAACTCTGCCCTGGAAGTGCTTTCTGCGACTATGCAAGAGTCAGAGTACCGGGACCGAGAACTACAACTTCCGACTTGCTTAATAACTGCGGTGGCGCTATTTAAAAAGCGTCAGAGAGGAGGTGCTTGGCTACGTCCCTCTCTTCCAGTTCCGCTCCCTCAGATCAGAGGCTGGACGGGGGCGGAGCCTTAGGCCCGAGCCAAGATGGCGGCTGCGAAACCAACCCCTACGGACTCGCTCTCTTTCTGCCTCGCGCAGCTCACAGCGGCGGCCGGGGAGGGTCTAGGTGGGACAAAGGACACAGCTACCAACGAGACACCCCTGGGCCGTGCGCTCTTAGCTCTCCGCACGCGCCACGTCAAGGCAGCGGGGGGAATCGAGCGCTTCCGGGCACGCGGCGGGCTCCTCCCCCTTCTGGCGCTGCTACGGCGAGCGTCGGCAGCGGGTCCCGCCCCGTCCCTGGCTGGCCCCGGCTCCTCCCCTTCGTCGATCGAGTCGGCGGCTACGGTTGGCCCCGCCCCTTCGGCTGGCCCCGCCCCCTCAGCGTCCTTGTCGACGCCCTCGCCGCCTGCGCGCCTGCGCAAGACCCTGGACTTGGCGCTGAGCATCCTAGCTGACTGCTGTACGGAAGGGGCGTGCCGGACTGAAGTGCGCAGACTCGGAGGCATTCTGTCTTTGGGTAAGTGCTCCGCCCCCACGTCCTAGAAGGCTTCCAGGCGCTCCCCCTCCTTGTCGGGGCTTTGGCGGCGTCTTCAGTTCTTTGTGTTGTATCCTGGAAGAGCGTGCGTCATGACAGCGCGGTGCCCACACTGCTCAAGCTTTCACGCCTCGTTAGATTTTAGATTGTACTCGAGCCCTCTCAGATCAATAATTACAGCCATGTCTCCCTCGCATCTGGGCTGGGGAGGCTAAAGGGATTATTTGGTGACTTTGAGATGATTTTTACCCTGCATTTATGAGATTCATGGCAGATAGTGTCTCCTGAACGTCCGGCCCTGTGCAGGGCTGTCATTTGATGAGCTAGAGCTCAGAAGATGCAGTGGTCAGGAAAGTGGGCTCTGCAGTCAGCCAGACCCCTAGAGGCTAGGATTCCTTGTTGCATAATGGGATAATAATAGCTACCTCGCATAACTGGAGATGGGAGAACATGAAACACAGATATAGAACACAGATACTCTAAACATGAACTGGGTGCTTCAAGCTAAAAACAAGCAGTTAACAAATCCTAACAAGACAGCAAGCTTTTCTGTTTCCCAGCTACGTTGGCGCCCCCTAGTGGCAACGTTGTGAATACAGTTTACTTAATAGCCTGTATGAAATTTTACGGGTTAAAAAAATGTTTTATTGATTTCAAGAGAGAGAGAAACATCAATGATGAGAGAGAATCATCGGTCAGTTGCCTCCTACATGCCCCCTACTGGGGCTTGAGCCCGCAACCGGGCATGTGCCGTGACAGGAAATTGAACAACCATTGATTAACACCAGCCAGGCAATATTATGCCAGTTTTGACAAAATCTTAAAATCTGGGGGTAATGAAACATCAATATATTTTAAATGTGCATAAAATGCATCTGGACCAAAATATGTTTGACAGGAGGTCTGGCACATTAATTAGTCTTCAATAAATTAAATATGTTATTATTAGTGTATAACCCCCATCATTCGGTCACTATTCTGCCTTTTAAATATCTGCTGAATCCATCCACTTTTCTCCCTCTTCCATCGTGTGCCCAGAGCCCTGTGCCCATGTCCTGGGCTGCGCTGGTAACTGATTTGGTTTAAGCTGCTATCCTTTCTCACCTGGACTATTGCACCAACTTCTGCCTTATTCTCCCCCCTCCTATGATCCATTCTCTCTCCTGGCTGCCAGATTCTGTCACACCATTCCCGTTCTTAAAGCCTGATGTGGCTCCCAGTGCCCTCACATTCAAACCCTGATTCTTTGGCCTGGCATTCAAGCCCTTCATGAGGTCATGGCAGACACTGGGTCTCCCCTCTGGACCCTTGCAAAGGCTGGTTCCAAACCTGAAATACCCTGTTACTGCCCCACCCATCATCCTTCTACTAAATCCTTACCTATTTAACCTTCTAAACCCCATGTTAGTTTCTCCTGGAGGCCTTTCCTGACCCTCTCAGATCACATTCTTGAGGCAGTTAATGAGAGAGACAAGAAGGGATAGAACCCTCAAGAGGCCAAATTCTCTTGCAGTGACTATTCTTCAGTGTGTGAAGACAGACAGCGTCCAGAACCGAGCAGCCCGTGCTCTGGGCAACTTAGCCATGGAAGCTGAGAGCTGTGTGGACATTCATTCTGCTGGTGAGAAGGCTGTGAGGGTGGCGTTAGCTTGGGGTGGGACAGGGGCTTGGGTTTCTGTCTTTGCTCACTCTGTGTCCTCCCCTTCCCTCTCCAGGTGCTGTTCCCCTGCTCATTGAGAGCCTGACGGCCTACCAGGACTCACATTGCTTGCAGAGCGTGATTCGCGCCCTCCGCAACCTGGCGGACTCCCCCCAGCACCGCCTGGCCCTGGCACAGCAGGGAGCAGTGCGCCCACTGGCTGAGCTTCTGGCTGCTCCCCCAGACCCTGCGCTGATCTTGGCCCTCGTCCGTGCCCTCCTGGAGCTGAGTCGAGGCTGCTCCCGTGCCTGTGCTGAGCAGCTAAGTCTGGGTGGAGGACTAGGCCCACTGGTCAGTCTAGCCTCCCATCCCAAAAGGACAGTCCGCGAGTCAGCTATCCTGATCCTTGCCAACCTGTGTGCCCAGGGCCTGGTACGGCCTGCCCTGGGCAACGCTGGTGGTGTGGAGGTGCTGCTGGGTGAGCTCCAGCAGCGCCGAGGTCCCAGTGGGGCTGGCCCAGCCTCCCAGCAGCCCCTGGTGCGGGCTGTGTGCCTACTTTGCCGGGAGGCCATCAACCGAGCCCGGCTGCGGGATGCTGGTGGTTTGGAGCTGCTGATGGAACTCTTGCGGGATCCTCATGCCAGCGCCTGGCACCCTCGTGTCGTGGCTGCCCTTGTGGGCTTCCTCTATGATACAGGGGCCCTGGGCCGGCTGCAGGCTCTGGGACTTGTCCCTCTCTTGGCCGGGCAGCTGTGTGGCGAGCTTGGTGACGAGGAAGAAGAGGGAAAAGAAGCTGCTTCCTGGGACTTTCCTGAGGAGCGGACCCCTGAGCGGGTAGAAGCCGGAAGCTTCCGAAGCCTCAGGTGAGCCCCTCCCTGAGCTTTGGGATGGGGTTTGTGTCTGCTCTGGCTCTCTCCACCACCCTCACCCCCTCTGTCTCAGTAAGACTTTTATTCACTCCTGATCCCTTGTTTTCCCCAGCGATGACCACTTTCTAGTGCCCATTAAATGCACCTTCTCGCCCCTGCGTCCCCCCTTGACCTTGGCTCCACCCCAGGACCTCTGAACTCTGGGGCCCAGAGAGGGCCCCTGGAAGGTGGAAGGTGCTCTGGCTGTGATGGTGTGCTCTGGAGCCCGCATTCTTATTTTGGTGCCACCAGTTATCACGGGAAAGTTAACTTCTTTGCCTGCAAAATGGAGGGTAGCAGGCATGCCTTCCCCATGCAGTTGTGAAGAATAAGTGAGGGTCCTGTGCAGCTGTCAGCTGTCTTGTGAGCTCTCTGACTTCGTCTCCTATGGCTCCCCCTGTGCCCGCTCCGCTCTTGCACACTGGCCTCCTGGCTGGTTCCTCCACGTGACCGGCAGGACTCTCGGGGCCTCGTTGGCTGCGGTTCTGTCGGCCTCGAGCACGCTTCCTCCTGGACTCCTTGATCAGGCCTCACCTTCTCAGTGGGGGCTACCATCACCACTGGTCTCCAGTGTCAACTTTTCCCTCCCTCGGCTCTTTTCTATTCCTTTCATCTGCATGCGTCGCTTCTCAAACTCCACACCTAAAATGGGGCTTGGCACAGACAGGCAGCAGTCCTTGCTGAATGATTTGGGGTTTTCCCTCTCTTCCTCCCCTATCTCCTCTCTGGCCACCTCCTCTTCCGGGCTTCTGTCACCTCCTTTTGGACCTGCTCCCTCTCCTCGGCTCTGAGTTCAGCCTCCTCCTTCTCTCCTCCGCAGGTCGTGGCTGATATCCGAGGGCTACGCCGCAGGCCCGGAAGACATCTCTCCGGACCGGTCTCCAGAGCGCTGTCCACGGCCTCCTCCACCGCCTGCGCCCCCTGAGCAGGCCCAGGCAGCCAGTCCCGCCCGGGGCCCAGCCTTGGTGCGGACGCCTCGAGGCCGCAGCCCTGCCACCGAGGAGTCTTGGGGCCGCGAGGGGCCAGCGCTGCTGCTGCTTTCACGCTTCTCCCAGGCGCCAGACCCAAGCGGGGCGCTGGTGACGGGCCCGGCCCTGTGCGGCCTGCTGGCCTACGTGACGAGGGCGCCGGGCCCCCCGAGCCCGCGCGCACTGCGCATCCTGGCGCGCCTCACCTGCAACCCTGCCTGCCTCGAGGCCTTCGTGTGCAGCTATGGTGCCGCGCTGCTGCGAGCCTGGCTGGTGCTGGGTGTCGCCCCGGACGACTGGCCCATGCTGCGTGCCCGGCCCCCCAGTCTGCGCAGCCAGCACCGGGAGCTAGGTATGTCCCTGCCCCTTCCCGCTCTGTCCTCCACTTACCCTTCAGTGAGCCCCGAAGCTCGCCTTACCACCCCTCGGTCCCTCACTGCCCTCAGCCCACCGTCCGCCCCATCCTGCTCCACCATCCCAGCCTGCAGAGTCCTGCTCCATACCTGGCCCAGGCTTTGGGGCCCCACAATTTAGAACTGTACCTGTTGGCATTTCCTTCCCTAATCTACTCTCAGTTCGGCGGTGTCACTGACTTGTGAGCCCAGGCTCAGGCGCCATGTCCTTTCAGGCCCAACCCCCATATCCAGCACTACCAGGGGCTGCCCTGTCTCCTGGTCCAGTCTCAGCCCTGAGGGCCCCGGCTTGCTCCCTGCCCTCCCACTTCCTGTTCCTGCCCTCACTTCCACTTCCTAGTCTCTGGGCCCCATCCCTCCAGGGCCTGCGGCAGCCTCCTTTCCCGGGCCCTGGTTTCTTGCCCTGAGGTGTTACCCACCTTCCTTTCTGGGGCCCTGAAGCCTGTGTTACCCTTCCCGCCCCACCCTGACCCACTCTGCCCATCGCTGCAGGTGAAATGCTTCTGCAGAACCTGACGGTGCAGGCGGAGTCGCCCTTCGGAGTGGGGGCCCTCACCCACCTGCTGCTCTCCGGGAGTCCTGAGGACCGCGTGGCCTGCGCGCTGACCTTGCCCTTCATTTGTCGGTGAGGATGGGGGTGCCTTGCAGGGGTCAGGGGAGCAAGGTTGCTCTTGCCCAGTCGCACCTTTCCCCTTCTGAAAGATTCTCTTTCTCCCCATAGGAAGCCCTCTCTGTGGCGCCGGCTCCTTCTGGACCAGGGCGGCCTCCGACTCCTCCTCTCGGCGCTGACGCGGCCCGCCCCACACCCGCTCTTCCTCTTCTTTGCTGCAGACTCCCTTTTCTGCCTCCACAGCCTGGTGTCTCCCACTGTGAGCCCAGCCCCACCACCTGCAACCCCCTTGGACCTAGACCCGCCCTCCCCTTGCCACTATGAACCTCTGCTGGGCCCAGCTCCCATCCCAGCCCCGGATCTGCACTTCCTCCTGGACTCAGGCCTCCGGCTCCCCGCCCAGCGAGCTGCCTCATCTGCTGCCTCCCCTTTCTTCCGGGCCCTGCTAGCTGGCAGCTTTGCTGAAGCCCAGATGGACCTGGTACCTCTTCGAGACCTATCACCCAGCGCAGCCTGGCCAGTCATGCATCACCTGCATGGCTGCCGGGGCTGTGGGGCAGCCCTGGGGCCCATTCCCCCGCCAGGCCAGCCCCTGCTGGGCTCAGAGGCTGAGGAGGCACTGGAGGCTGCTGGCCGTTTCCTGCTGCCTGGGCTGGAGGAGGAACTGGAAGAGGCTCTGGGCCGTATCCACCTGGGATCCCAAGGTAGCCTAGAGTCAATGGGTGAGGTACTCCGCCTGGGCCGGCCCCGGATGGCTGTCCACTGTGCACGCTGGGTCCTGGGGCCAGGGCAGTGCACACGGAAGCGGGCTCTGGCCTTAGTGGAGCTGGTGGAGGCAGCAGGCGAAGAAGCAGGTCCCCTGACTGAGGCTTTTCTGGCTGTGGTGATGGGAGTTGAAGTGGGGAACAGGGGTCCCAGTCTAGACTCTTGATATCCCCTCGGAGGGGACCCAGGAACGAATTGGCAAGAAGAAGGCGTCCCTCGGAGTGGCACAGGGAGGAGGCTAAGCAGGAGTAACCACTGAGGACCGACAAGAGGATGGGCCCCAGGACGATGGGCTGCAGGCTCAGGAGTGAGAAGCTGAGACCGAGGGGCCTGTGAGATGGAGAAGAGCCCAGCCTTCTGGGGTTGGGATTAAAACTTTGGAGTTGGATATTCAACTGCACCATCGAGAACTATCTATGGCACCATGATTCTTATTATATTTTTTCTGAATTACAGTTTAAAACAAGGATTGTACCCTATTCTACCTTGTTAGTCTTGTTTTAAGCATTTACTCCATCTACAACAGCATTGTATACCGCCAATCCACATCCAAAAAGGTGTGCACTGTAGGAAGTTAACATTTTAAATAAAAATGACAGCCCTGTCTGGTGTGATCAGTGGTTAGAGCATTGGCCCACACATTGAAGGGTAGCAGGTTTGATACCTGGCCCTGGTTGGAGCACATGCAAGGAGGCAGCAAATCAATGTGTCTCTCTCACATCAATGTTTCTCTCTCTTCCCTTCCCTCCCTCTCTCTCTTCCACTCTCTCTAAATAAATCAATGGAAAAAATATCTTCAGGTGAAGATTAACTAACTCACTCACTCCTGTATAATAAAAGAGAAACGTAAATTAACCATCCCTTTGCTATGCTCACCAGCCAATCAGGAGTGAATATGCAAATTAACCCAGCAAAGATGGTGGGCTCTTTTGCATACACAGGCACCCAGTGGAGAGCAGAGCAGGAGAGATGGCAGCTTGGGGGAACATGGCAATGTGGGAGGCCTGGGAGGCCGTGGGATGGAGACAGAGCAGGAAGGGAAAACCTAGAGTGCGGGGAGCACCAGGAATGCTGGGAATTGTAGTTCTGGTGGCAGACAGATCTAAAGCAAAGAGCCTGGAGCAAGTTACTGTTGCGGTGGGGGATGGAGGGAAAGCAAAGGTGAGAGACATAAGTAAAATCAGAGTGTCTAGGAAAAATTAAAGGGAAGATATCCTAAAACTTCCAGGAAATCTCCACCAACGAAGCAAAGAAAAAAAAAATGCCTCTATTATTCTGTGAGCAACAAACCAAGCTGGGTTGGGGGTCTCAGACAATTTGCTCATATGATTGCAAAGACAGACAGAAACTCCAGGGTTGGAGAGGGTTCCCGTGAAGGCTCCCAGATTGGAGAGGGTGCAGGTCGGGCTGAGGGACCCACCCCCAATGCATGAATCTTCGTGCACCAGGCCCCTAGTAAATAAATAATAGGCCGGCTGGTGTGGCTCAATGGTTGAGTGGCGACCTATGGACCAGGATGTCATGGTTCGATTCCCAGTCAGGCCATAAGCCCAGGTTGTGGGCTCGATCCCCAGTAGGGGATATGCAGGGGGCAGCCGATCAGTGATTATCATCATTGATGTTTCTCTCGCCCTCTCCCTTCTTCTCTGAAATCAATAAAAATAAAATTTTTAAAAAATAATAATTAAAACTACACATATAAATCAAAGCGTAAAAAGAAAAAATCAAAGCCTATGTGAAATATTAAATACTCTCTCCACCCAACAAAACAACCATTTTGTATGGAATAATTTGCAATGATGCTATCAATATATCTTACAAATGCAATGAGAGGAAACCCATTCTTTCATGGCATGGTGGTGGGCACAGCAGCTCATGTGGCCTGCTAAAGGCCTTGAAGACTGAAGTGCTCAGGTCTGGATTGAGACCCACAGTCCTGTGGCTGCAGCACCATTGTGTCTGTCTACACCAACTATAGAGTGTCTCATTTCAATCTTTCCAAAAAATTTTTTATTGATTTTAGAGAGGAAGGGAGAGGGAGAGAAACATCAATGATGAGAGAGAATCATTGGTCAGCTGCCTCCTGAATGCCCCCTACTGGAGATCGAGCCCACAACCCAGGCATATGCCCTGAACCAAAACTGAACTGTGATCTCCTGGTTCATAAGTCGATGCTCAACCACTGAGCCATGCTGGCTGGGATCGTTTCAATCTTGATTTCTCAGGGTCTCAGTCCAAGGAAGGCTTCTTGTTCCTTTGTGGCTGGCTGGAGCTTGCATCTTGCTCTCTTCACTGTGTTCATCGGTATCTTGTGAAGGACTTCTTTTGGGACAGGGCTGGGCCGCCGCCCTGTTGGGGAAGGGCTTTGTCTTAAAGGCGGGCTGGGGTCCGGCTCCCTGGGAGTGTTTTCCCAGTCTGCATGGGCCTGGGTTTCAGTTCAACTGTATGTCTGTTTTCAAGTCTTGGAGGAAAGGTCCTGCTTTACCGTCTGAGGAGGGTTCATCCTGTCTGTCTCTGTGTCTGAGAGATTTCTTTGTGTTTAGTGTTGTGCCTTTTGGGGTCTCTGTTTATGTCATTGTTTGTCTGGGTCTCTAAGGGAAAGTCTCTGAACCTGGGATCTGCCTGAGCTTTAGAACATCATTTCTGCTCCAGTCCCAAAATTCTGCCTGGAGCAAGTCTCTCAGGAAAGGCCTGGGTGGCAGGGGCTCTGTCTGAGACTCGGGGTGCTAACTTTGAGAGGTGTCTGCCTAGGGGCCTCAGTTTGTGTCTGAGAGTCGCGCTGGGCAGACGATCCCGGGCATGGTCTGCAAGAGCCACTTCTCAGACTCTGGCTGTGGCCGCCTGGGGCTCCCTGCAGCTGAGGCCAAGGCTGGGGTGTGGCTGCCTCCCCGCAAGCAGGCAGGCGGGCTGGGCCTGCGTGGACCGCAGCCCTCCCTCCCTTACACGCCCCCACCCAGGATTCTCCCCTTCATTGCCCCCCACCTTTCCCTCCAGCCCCATCCCAACGGATCCCGGCTTCCTTACATGGTCACGGCTGGGCCTCCAGCTCCCGGACGTCCTCCCCACCCCCCCACCGCCCTCCGCCCCCACCGGACACGGCCCCCGCCCTGCAAGCCCAGCGTGGTCCGCCCGTGCCCCACCATGGAAGACCTGGGTGAGTGGGGTCCGGGTCCCCTTGTGCCCAGCCCTGCATCGACCTCTGGACCCGCTTCCCCATCCTGGAGCCCCCCGGCCCTCCCGGCATCTCCTCATCCTGCCTCCTGTCTTCTCGCTTCTGCTCTCAGCCCGCGCCTCCTTTCCGACTCCACGTCCCCCTTCCTGCCTCTCCCTTCCTGCCTTTCCCGGGCCGGCCGCTCCCTCCCTCCCTCCTCTCCCTGCCCCTCCATCCCCAGCTGCGGACGCGCCGGGTGGTGTGTGCCTGCCCGCGGGCGCCGGGGCTCAGGGGCTCTGGGATGGGAGGGGTTGGAGGGGTCTTGGGTCCGGGACTGGGAAAGTAGACAGGAAAGGGAGGCTTTGACATCAAGTTCTGGAAAAGAACGGGGCCTGCCCCGGGTTTGGGGGAGGAAAGAGTTAAGGGTCCCTAAGTTTGGTAGGTGCCCAGGAGAGGGTCAGGGTCCCGCCGTGGTGCTCTAGATGAAGACTGAGGGGGCAGGGACTGCTGGGCTCTGGAAGGGAAAGGGGATGGGGGTGGGGTGGGGTGGTAGTGGTGTCCGGGTGCAAGGAGGAGGCATTTTGTACTCCCTATCTGTCGGAACTGGGGCTGGAAGGCTGTGCCCTCCGACTGTGAGACAGAAGGGGTTCCAGCACCCTGCAACAGGGGGTGCTGTTCAGTAGGGGTAGCGGGCACTGGTACTGTGGAGAATAAGCCAATCAGAAAGCAGGTCCCTGCAGACTCACCAATGAGGTGCAGAGGGTGGGACCCAGTGGCGCCTGGAGGTGAGCCAGCGCTGAGTGGGTGGGGCTAGGCCCGGGGAGGAATTAGTGGGCGTGGCAAAGAGCGTCCAATCAGAAGGCTGGGTGCCAGGCATGTAGCCAATTGAGCAATTTGGGGTGGAGTCAACTTTGGCTTCAGTAAAGAGCCAATTTTGACTGCATTAGGGAAGATTTTAAGGAGAAAAAAAAATCAGACGGCTGGGTTTGTGCATGGCTCCCAGGATGAGCCATTGGGATATTCTGGTCAAATATATTCCTTACTACCCTTCCACTTCTCTGCCTTGGTCTGGCCTTGTGTTTCCTTCTTAATACTGGCTTCTGTCCTCAAATACTGCCCACTTGGAATCCTTATCCTTTGATATCTTAAGGCCCTGTCTCGGCCCTAACCTTGACCTCTCAACTTCTCACCTTGATGGCCTCCCTGCAGATGCCCTGCTCTCTGACCTGGAGACCACCACCTCACACATGCCACGGTCAGGGGCTCCAAAAGAGCGACCCCCAGAGCCCCTCGCGTCTCCCCTGCCCTATGGCCACCAGCCACAGGTGAGATCAGATGCTGTGGACCAGGGCAACCACTAGGGCCAGTCTGGCCAAGGCTGGGGGAGTCTGGGCCTGAGTGAGGCAAGCTACTGGTCGATCACCCCACGCATGTGTCCGTCTCTCTGTAGATGGGGACTGGAGAGTCTTCTGGAGCCTCTGGGGACAAGGACCATCTGTACAGGTAAGAGGCCTGAGAACTGGGGGGTGGGGAAGCTAATTGAGACTCAGGTGATGAGTCTTCGATTCCCCACCCTGAACCCAAGCTCCCGCCCTGTTCCCCAGTACGGTATGCAAGCCTCAGTCCCCAAAGCCTGCGGCCCCTGCGGCTCCTCCATTCTCCTCTTCCAGCGGTGTTCTGGGCACGGGACTGTGTGAGCTGGACCGGTTGCTTCAGGAACTTAATGCTACTCAGTTCAACATCACAGGTACCATGGTTACTGAAACAGGCCTTGAGGGGCTGGGGCTGGGGTAGGGCAGAGATGAAGGGGCATAGATTTCCCAGAGTAGCAGCTAAAAGGACACAAAGCCTTACATGGGAGGGTGTGGAGAGCAGGCCCTGTGTCCACTGCCCTTCTCTCCTCTCTGCAGATGAAATAATGTCTCAGTTCCCATCTAGCAAGGAGACCGCCGGGGAGCAGAAGGAGGACCAGCCTGAGGACAAGAAAAGGCCCAGCCTGTGAGTTTGGCACAGTTGCCAGGTCTGAGAGAGGCGACTGGTCTTGGATGCCTGAGTTACTGGAGGGAGCGTTGCTCTGGGAGGCTCTGAGCTGACACACGTTGTTCTTCATAGACCTCCCAGCCCAGCCCCTGTTCTCCCAAAGCCTTCGGCCACCTCGGCCACCCTGGAGCTGGACAGACTGATGGCCTCACTCTCCGACTTCCGAGTCCAGAACCATGTGAGTCAGGCAGCAGGGTGGGCCAATGTGGTTTTGTGGCTCCCTGACCCATTCTAGACCTTCCCACATCTGTTGCCTTGCTGACTCAACTCACATCCTCCCTGTTGTAGCTTCCAGCTCCTGGGCCAACCCAGACACCGGTGCCAAGCTCCGTGAACGAGGGCTCCCCATCCCCACCGGGGCCTGCGAGCAAGGGCAGCCTAGACACTATGCTGGGGCTGCTGCAGTCCGACCT